ATATATAATCTAAGTATATATATATATATATATATATATATATATATATATATATATATATACACACACACACACACATATACATACACACATACACTGTCTAGGTGTATTTTACTATTAATATATATATATATATATATATATATATATATTTATATATATATTAATATCAAATTACAAGTAGACTGATACTGATTAAATATATATATATATGTATATATATATATATATATATAATTGTTATATATATTTATATATAATATAAAAAAAATGTAAATACGTTAAAAAATAAAATTTAAAAATAAATAATTAAAAAATATATAGATGTGTGTTATTTCCTTCTAACTGTATTGTGAAAATATAATATATATATATATATATATATATATATATATATATATATATATATATCTCTATATACATAAATATATACGTATATATCACTATATGTAGACAACCCAATGTATTGCAAACGGGGTATGTCCAGTCTTTTTTAGTAGCCACTTAGTCACAAACACTGGCCAAAATTGGCGTTTATTGCATTTTTCACACACAAACAGATACTGACGCTAACTTTGGCCAGTGTTTGTGACCAAATGGCTACTAAAAAAGACTGGACATACCCCATTTGCAATACCTTGGGTTGTCTACTATTGCAAATGGTATGCCATTATGGGTGTAAATTTCATTCCTGGGCTACTATACAGTCTCAAAGGCAACGTAACCAATCTGGCCAATTTCAATTTCAAATGTAACGTGCTATATTTGACCCTGTAACTTCCCAAAACGCCATAAAACCTGTACATAGGGGGTACTGTTTTACACGTGAGACTTTGCTGAATACAAATATGTGTATTTTATTGCAGTAAAAACAAACAGTATTATGACATTGACAGTTAAAATGTCATGTAGAACTAAAAAAAAATAAAAAAAATCTTATTTTCTCCCATTTTTTTCATATTAAATTATGTTTCATAGCTAAATATTTGATATTAAATGAAAGCCCTGTTTCCCCTGAATAAAATGATATATAATAAGGGTGGGTGCATTGAAAGAGGTGAATTACGGTTGGACAGACATGTAGCGCAAATGCCAGGTTTTGTTTACATTTTGTTTTGTTCACGTGTACATTTGGCTCCGTCCTTAAGGGGTTAATTAGAGTTGAGTGGACACCTGGATGTTCGGGTCCGGTGGATTCAGCCAAACTTTGAAAAAAAGTCCGGGTTCGGAATGAAGTCAATGGGGACCTGAACTTTTGGGCACAAAAATGCCTCTAAAAAAGTCCTGGAAAGGGCTAGAGGGCTGCAAAATGAAGTAAAATGGGGGTAAGAGTAGGACAAGTGCCCTGCAAACAAATGTGGACAGGGAAATCACTTAAAATAACATAAAATACATAAAAATTTTAAATACAGCTGAACCATAAAATAGCACTAGATGGAATCTTTGATTTCTCTGAAGCTTTGGAAGAACATAAATCTAAATCTAAAGCATGGCTGTCAGGAGGATCACCAGAATTATCCATTTGAGAGAGGGTTGGAGTGCAGGGTATTCTCTTTCATTGTTCAAACTGAGCTCAACTCCTGATGCATGGAGAAAAGGCCTTCACAAGCCTCTGCTATTGTGTACATAGTTTATACTAAGTGACCCATAGGTTGAGGAGGCAGTGACCGTGGTGGTGTAGGTGGAAGCGGCGGTGGAGGAGGAGGTAGCCAACACTGTTTATTTGTTTTTTTAATTGGGTTAGCTCACAGAATATTGGGACATATAAAAAAAATAAACATCTGCGGTGCATTTCTTGCAGTCCAATAACCCCATCAGGTTTTTAAAACTGCCCATCTCCACCAGACGGAATGACAGCATTTCAAAGGCCACGAATTTTGAAATGCTGGCATTCAGGGCCAGGGATCGCGGGTGGCTAGGGGGGGTACTTCCTCTTTCTCTCCAGTGTCTGGGAGATGGACAGCTGAACGCTTCCATGGGACAGTGTGGAGATTCTGGACAATTGTGTACCTGGCCTATGCTGGTGCAGGAACCCACCCTCCGAGCCACTTGTGAATGACTGGCCTGATTATCGTGGAAATGACCCCTCTTCCTCCTGTGCCACATCCTCTTCCATCATCGTCCGAAGCGTTTTTTCCAAGGAGACACAGAAGCGGGATAGTAAGGCTGAGAACAACGTCTGGTTCATGTTGGTGGAGTACTCGAAACAGCGCAACATGGCATGGAGGCCCACTTATTGGTGGTGAAGTGGTGCTGTTCCACAGAGCGACTGACCCGTGCGTGCTGCAGTTGAAACTCCACTATCGTCTGCTGCTGCTCGCACAGTCTCTCCAGCATGTGCAAGGTGGAGTTCCACCTTGTGGGCACGTCGCATATGAGGCGGTGAGCGGGAAGGCCGAAGTTACGCTGCAGCGCAGACAGACGAGCAGCAGCAGCAGGGTGAGATTGCCGAAAGCGCGCAAAGACGGCACGCACTTTCTGCAGCAGCTCTGATATATCTGGGTAGTTTTTCAGGAAATTCTGCACCAACAAATTCAGCACATGCGCCAGGCAAGGGATGTGCGTCAAACTGGCTATGCCCAGAGCTGCTACGAGATTTCACCCATTATCGCACACCATCAGGCCGGGCCTGAGGCTCAGTTGCAACAACCACTCATCGGTCTGTTGTTCCATGCCCATCCACAGCTCCTGCGTGGTGTGGGTTTTTCCCCCCAAACATATGAGTTTTAAAACAGCCTGCTGTCATTTCCCCCTGGCTGTGCTGAAGATCGTGGTGAAGGTGTGTAGAATATTGCATATTCTATGTTTCTATTGATTATATATATGGATGTGTGGATTGACATAAGTAACAGATGGTATCAATAAGTCGCAAGGCTTTCTTTGTCCGAGAGCTCTGGAATGTGGATTCGGGGGTCTTTTCCTTATATGGCTAGAGTTAAATGCTTACGTTAGTATTAGCACATCTTTATAGCAAGAGAGGGACACGAGGTCGCTCTCTCTCTTGGCTTGGCTCTCGGCTCTGTACAACGATGTAACTCTCCCATCAGAAGTACAGCAATTACCATCTGCTGTTGAATGTCCATTATCCTGTAACATCCTTTATTATGTTTTATTATGTATCCGTAACTAAGAATAAACCTGAAGAAACCGTAAGTCAGATTGCGTATTACTACTTTTCAATAATATAGACATATATTATTGTGGCGAGCATTTGGCCCAAGAATATATATATACAAAAGACGTATATATATCAATCAACTGAAGACAAGATGAAATTAAAGGACCACTATAGTGCCAGGAAAACATACTCGTTTTCCTGGCACTATAGTGCCCTGAGGGTGCCCCCACCCTCAGGGTCCCCCTCCCGCCCGGCTCTGGAAAGGGAAAAGGGGTTAAAACTTACCTTTTTCCAGCGCTGGGCGGAGAGCTCTCCTCCTCCGATCCTCCTCTTCTCCTCCCCGTCGGCTGAATGCGCACGCGCGGCAAGAGCTGCGCGCGCATTCAGCCGGTCACATAGGAAAGCATTCATAATGCTTTCCTATGGACGCTGGCGTGCTCTCACTGTGAAAATCACAGTGAGAAGCACGCAAGCGCCTCTAGTGGCTGTCAATGAGACGGCCACTAGAGGATTAGGGGGAAGGCTTAACCCATTAATAAACATAGCAGTTTCTCTGAAACTGCTATGTTTATGAAAAAATGGGTTAACCCTAGAAGGACTTGGCACCCAGACCACTTCATTAAGCTGAAGTGGTCTGGGTGCCTAGAGTGGTCCTTTAAGAATATTCTACAAGGTGTTACGCTGACCAGATGAGGAGGTGGTAGAGGAGAAGGAAGCGGAGTAGGAGGAGGCGGCAACAGGAGGCAAAGCTGTGTATCCAAATAAAGATTGTCAAACGTTGCATCCTGGAACTGTGTCCCATCCGGTTACTGGGGAAATGGGTCTGACCTATACTAATCAAAAGGGGATAACCATCAGTTACCCAGGTCCCGCTTCAATTGGTGGTCCCTGCCAACGGACCCATGGACTAAAGTGCTCTAAAGCGCTGCAGGACTTGTGTGGAGCCAGAGGAATAACGCCTGGTGGGCGTAACAAGGCCGAATTGACTGGTGTGCTCATGGAGGAAGACCAGGCATGCAGTGAGGCAATGAACCCCAGCCAGGGGCCGGAGATGAGGAGGAAGTGCACAAGGAGGTGGAACGGCGCCTGGCATATTACCGAGAGCCGCCCTCAGAGGAGAATGTCAGCAGGACCTTTTTGGATGTGCACGCCTATGTCCTTGCCAATAGACAGAGGGCGAACCCAGATGAAGGAAGAAGGGAGCAGAGGGCGCCGGGAAGCACAACCACCCTGGCCCACAAACTACCATACAATGCCTTCAAAGAGTTCAAGGAAGCAAAAGAAGGCATCAATGACTTTTTACAAGTCTTTGAGCGCCAGTGCCTACTCCAAGACGTGGAACCCAGCGACTGGGTCACCATCCTGGCCAGCAAACTAGTGGGGAAGGCAGCAGATATTTACCGGGCTGTACCAGAAGAGCAGATCAGAGACTATCCCTTTATTACACAAATCCTCCTGGTCCGGTATGTGGTCACCCCAGAGCAATACCGCCCAAAGTTTAGGGAGACCCGGAAAGGGGAGAAGGACTCCCATGCGGAGTTGGAATGCCACATCACAAGGGCCACCTAGAACTGGCTCAACTCCCATCAAGCCAGGTTCATGGAGGAGAGTTTACCCAGCTTTTCATGCTAGAGCACTTTTTCAATGGGATCCCCAATGACACGGCTTGTGAGAGACCCCCAGACCCAAGAAGTATTGGTAAGAGCTTGGCAGGGCATTTGGGCAGGAGCCGGACAGCGTCTCGGCTCACCCACAGCTTCTTCTGGCCAGGCATCTCTCAGGATCTGAGGCAGTACTGCCAGATGTCTGCCAGAGAGTAGGGAAGAGAGGGCCCCCCTCCATCCCCTACCTATATTAGTGAAGATCCGTTCGGCAGAGTAGCTGTCGACATTATTGTTATGCAGGCACTTTGGTGACTCTAGAGAACCTCGGGCCAATCGCACGTCCCCGTAATGGCAACTGTCTGCCCTATCAACTTTCGATGACAATTTCTGCGCCTACCATGGTGACCACGGGTAACGGGGAATCAGGGTTCGATTCCAGAGAGGGAGTCTGAAAAACGGCTACCACATCCAAGGAAGGCAGCAGGTGCGCAAATTACCCACTCCCGACGTAGGGAGGTAGTGATGACAAATAACAATACAGGACTCTTTAGAGGCCCTGTAATTGTAATGAGTCCACTTGAAATCCTTTAACTCTGATCAATTGGAGGGCAAGTCTGGTGCAGAGTGACTGACCCATGCGTGCTGCAGCTGAAACTTCACTATCGCCTGCTGCTGCTCGCACAGTCTCTCCAGCATGTGCAAGGTGGAGTTCCACCTTGTGGGCACATCGCATATGAGGCGGTGAGCAGGAAGGCCAAAGTTACGCTGCAGCACAGACAGGGGGGAACAGCAGGGTGAGAACGCCAAAAGCGCGCACAGCCGCTACAGTGAATGTCACATCCTGTTGCAAGTTGCGGATCAGTCTGGTGATGGCTTCTGGAATCCAGTACTTTTTTTACTGAAGCTGCATAAGGGTCCTGGTATGTGGCCGCACAAACGCTGGTGCTCAAAACCAGGGGGTGTGCGGTTACCCTGCACCAGACCCTACTAATCCATTCCACATTGTGACTCCTAACTTCAACATAAGGCATACTGGGTCCCGGTCGTCCGACCACCAACCAGACAGTGTTTGGGTCCTGGTCACCGGACTGCGAAACTGTGAATGGCTTGTTAAATCTGTTATGGCTCCTTTTATCGCTCCATCTGTTACTTGGATAACTGTGGGAATTCTAAAGATAATACATGCCGACGAGCGCAAGGGGACGGCCGCTCCGCTTTTGCACCCTGCTTCCTCTTATGCTGTGCTGGTGCCTCTGTGTGACCAGCGCCTCTTCCTCCAAACTGCACATGTCACTCGCATGACCTTGATTCCATGTGGGGTCTAGGACCTCATCATCCTCCACATCATCTTCCACCCACTCCTCAACCCTGCCCTCCTTGCCGGTCTGCACACTGCAGAAAGCCACAGCAGTTGGCACCAGCATGTAAAGTCTGCAAAGGACTTATGGGAATTGTTATAGAATTGTATCCAGGCAACAGTTTTCCCTATAATCTGACCTCTCAGTTTGACTTGTGAGGGTATTGCCCCCGAATTACAATATTGGTGTTTGACGGTTCTGTTTGACTGTCAGATATGAAGTGCAGGCCGCAAATGTACTATTTAGGTACCCCCCAAAAAATGTAATTTTTCAAAGTGCGCTGAAAGCACAATATTTAACGGTTCTATTTGACTCTCAGATATGAAGTGCACCGCAGGACGCAAATGTCTTATTTAGCAGCCAAAAAATGTTAATGTTTAAAACTGCTATGTCACAGCACTATTTGACGGTTCTATTTGACTCTGAATTTACTATTTAGCAGATTAGCACCCAGAAAATAAGAATATACTTAAAAATAATAAGGTGCGCTGTGTCTTTAAGACCCAAAAATATATAAAGTGCAACTAAGTGCAAACAAATTGATAAAGTGCAAAGTGATACAAAGTGCACTTAAAGTGTAGAATATCAGTATAAAATATTATACATACATATGGCCTCTCAACTCCAAATATACATAGAAAGGAAAAGAGACATAAAAAAACCAATAGTGTGAAACCGTATTAAAATGGTAGTATGGATAATAAATGCCAAATATTGCACTCACAAAAGTAGAGCAGAATAAGCCTGCTCTAGCTTTAACAGCTTCTTCAAATGTAGGACTGCACAGACGAAAAAATATTCCAAAATCTTTATTGCCCAGCACAGCACCAATATATCACCTTCCTCCACACTTAGTATTCAGTTACAGAGCCTTCGGTAGCATACAGCATAAGGGTGTCGACCTGTCCCTCTGCGGATTCGCCGCCGTAATTGCCGTCTGTTGGCCGTCTGTTTCCTCAAACTTCCAGGGGGAGGAGCTTTCTCGGGTGCGTGACGTCAGGTGCGTAACTTTACGTGATGTTTAGTGGATAGGTGAGTGCGCTGGATCTTGTGTATTGTAATAGATAAAATATTCCAAAATCTTTATTGCCCAGCACAGCACCAATATATCACCTTCCTCCACACTTAGTATTCAGTTACAGAGCCTTCGGTAGCATACAGCATAAGGGTGTCGACCTGTCCCTCTGCGGATTCGCCGCCGTAATTGCCATCTGTTGGCCGTCTGTTTCCTCAAACTTCCAGGGGGAGGAGCTTTCTCGGGTGCGTGACGTCAGGTGCGTAACTTTACGTGATGTTTAGTGGATAGGTGAGTGCGCTGGATCTTGTGTATTGTAATATTACAATACCCGAGAAAGCTCCTCCCCCTGGAAGTTTGAGGAAACAGACGGCCAACAGACGGCAATTACGGCGGCGAGTCCGCAGAGGGACAGGTCGACACCCTTATGCTGTATGCTACCGAAGGCTCTGTAACTGAATACTAAGTGTGGAGGAAGGTGATATATTGGTGCTGTGCTGGGCAATAAAGATTTTGGAATATTTTTTCATCTGTGCAGTCCTACATTTGAAGAAGCTGTTAAAGCTAGAGCAGGCTTATTCTGCTCTACTTTTGTGAGTGCAATATTTGGCATTTATTATCCATACTACCATTTTAATACGGTTTCACACTATTGGTTTTTTTATGTCTCTTTTCCTTTCTATGTATATTTGGAGTTGAGAGGCCATATGTATGTATAATATTTTATACTGATATTCTACACTTTAAGTGCACTTTGTATCACTTTGCACTTTATCAATTTGTTTGCACTTAGTTGCACTTTATATATTTTTGGGTCTTAAAGACACAGCGCACCTTATTATTTTTAAGTATATTCACTAAAGTGTTTGGAGGAGTTTTACACTTGTTTTTGGTGCAGCTCTTTTTTATATTAACAGCTTGTTTTGTTTTATTTTAGACGATTTTATTACGAGCGCCTACTTTTTACTTGTTTTCAGAAAATAAGAATGTTTACAATTTTGCAGTAACCGCACTATTTGACGCTTCTATTTTACTCACGGCTATGAAGAGGACGCCCCAAATTTACTATTTAGCAGTTTAGCACCAAAACAATTAGAATGTTTACAACTGTGCTGTAACCGCAGTATTTGCTTCTATTTGACTCTCAGATATGAAGTGCACCCCACTAATGTACTTTTTAGCACCCAAAAAAATTTAAGTTTTAAAACTGCAATGTGACAGCAGTATTTGACGCTTCTATTTGACTCTCCGATATGAAGTGCACACCCTAAATGTACTATTTAGCAGCAAAAAAAAATAAAAAAATAAAAATGACTTTTTAAAACTCTGATGTAACTGCAGTATTTGACGCTTCTATTTGACTCTCAGATATGAAGTGCACCCCACTAATGTACTAGTTTGCAGAATTCTTTCCTAATCTGTCCCTGAAAGCGGCAGCATCCTCTCTCTACACTAATAAGAGCTCATGTGACGTGCGGCGCTACGGGACTCCAGCTTATATATAGAGGCTGGGTCACATGCTGCACTGGCTATGCAATTAGTAGGCATGGCTGTGATCTCTTCTAAGGGCACACGAGTCAAACGCTTGTTGATTGGCTGCCCTGCAGGCTTTCAAAACGTGCCATTAAATCACCGAACACTGAACTCCAACCCGAACATACAGTGATATGTCCGTGTTTGGGTCCGGGGTCTTTTACAGTCCAGGTTCGCTCAACTCTAATCTTAAACTTATATTGTTATTTTTCAATATTCTCGTTTCACCTTTATTGGATCAATTTATACATACATATATGCAGCTATATAGTTGCATGCCCTGCTGTTTTCATAATACAGACAAGGACCGCCGGCCTCATTACAAGCCCGGCGGTCCTGTTGGGGGCTGGCAGGAAGCGTTTACTTACCTTTCCTGCAGCTCCTGTCAGCTCCCCCTGTAAGTCTCGCGAGAGCCGTGGGGTCAGAGCGTTGTCATGAGTTACCGTGGCAACGCTCCCCGCGGCACTCAAACTGCGAGACTTACAGGGGAGCTGACCACACCAGGAGGAGAGAGAAAGGAGCTGACAGGAGCTGCAGGAAAGGTAAGTTACAGCTCGCTGCCAGCCCCCCTCCTACACAGTGCACACCACTGGACCACCAGGGAATGAGAGCCCCCCTCCCTGGCCAGCTAACAAGCAGGGAGGGGGGACGAAAATAAATATAAATAAAGATTTAAATAATAATAAAATAATATAAAAAAATTAATTAATATTAAAATAATTAATAAAGATGCCCACCACCCACCAAGGCTCTGCATCACACACTGCATTCATACACACACACACACACACACACACACACTGCACTCATACACACAGACACACACCGCACTCATACAAACACACTGCATTATACACACGCACACACACACACACTGCACTCATACAAACACACCGCATTATATATACACACACACACACACACACACACACTGCATTCATTATATACACACACTGCAAATAAATATTCAATTAATATTTTTTGGGAATTTAATTTTATTTAGAAATTTACCAGTAGCTGCTGCATTTCCCACCCTAGTCTTATACTTGATTCAATAAGTTTTCCCAGTTTTTTGGGGTAAAATTAGGGGTCTCGACTTCTATATTCGGGTTGACTTATACTAGAGTATATACGGTATATATAATTTTCAAAGGCAGCAAGTTTTTCTTAGCCTTCCACCATTCTTACAGGTGCTAGTCTTCAAATATGGTGTAACGAAGCGGTACTGTCACAACTTTTCAGGGCCTTACAAACACCCATGCATACCCACTAAACACATGCAAATATCCCAGAATATAAATGTTTATCACAAGTTACAGTTACACCAATCAAAGTCCCATATTTCTGCTAGTGAGGAGAGATGTGTGCGCTGGGCAGGACTAATGATATATTTTATTTTTATTTTTTTTACATCCCCCTCCCATTTGCTTAGTTTTCTCTGGAGGGATGGTGGAATGGATGTTTCTGTGGTTTCTACTAGGAGTCAGTTTTCTGTGGCACAGACAACCTCAGGGCTAACTTAAAGGTCTGTGACAGTCACCCTGAGCGAGGAAGGGCATCTACCGCCAGAGATGTCCTTTCCCCCTAGTCTGAGTAGCGCTACAGTATTCTCCAGTTGATAT